ACTTCATGTCAGCATTTGTCACCATGGTAACCGTGAGTGCTGACTGCCTGTAACCTCCTCGCTGGCGGCTACCATCTGTTGTTAGTTTTTCCGTATGTCCGGAAGAAAACTGGCGGATTGTTCGTTTAAACGCTGGTTAAAAGCGAAGCACTGCCAACGATGCTGGTGCCTGTATGATTTAGGGTTGAATGTTAATTTTACGGGGTCTTCAATGATTTTGTGGATCTTTTTCGGGCGGCCTTTTGGCGCTATCTTACACAAGCGGATGGGGAGAAGTACTAGAACCACTGAAAAGGTCGCCCAGAGGTGGTCGCTGCAAATTTGATGGGGTGGTTCCAGGGGTGGTTCGGGAGGGTGGGGGGTCGGTGGAGATTGCGAGTCACCGAAGGCGTGCCCAGAGGCATGCTCCCTTTTTAGCGTTTCTCTTACCATCCCCCACTCCAACCTCTGCTGTAGACCACTGATTGCATTTTTTTTTGGCACGGCCATTCGCAGTACACAACCTGCGGGGATGTGGTTAGGATTAGGAGAAAGCGTCCGTTGCCACATCTGGGTATACTTCACTTTCGTGTCACTGTTTTCATAATGGGAACAACATTTCCATGCAACACAGACAGAAGGCACTGGACAGACGGCCAGCTCAATGAAAACAAGGGGACGTACTAATCAGCCTCAACTAATTCGTTTTATGGAAGGCATGCGCGCGCGCATTGATTTTTGTACGAAAACTATAACTTACCCGTCTGTGTTCACTCGTAATTTTTGTGTCGCTCGGAGGCAGACATGAGATAGGAAACAGATGCCGACTGATAAGTAGCCTACTAGTACTAGTAATAACGCCATAGCCTCTTATGCAGGCATTCCCGGTGCAGTCGCTTTGGGGGGAGGGGCGGTCGGTCAGAGAAGCGCGAGCTATCAGAAAATTAAAAAGAAAAAAAAAACACCTCACCGGGAACGCCTGCAAAGGAGGCTGTGACGTCACATGAATTACCTTCGTCGAGAAGGTTATGTGTTAGTAGCATTATATGTGTAGGTTGCCAATTTTTAAGGACAATTATGGTTGATCTAGCGGCATTTCACGGTACTGCAGTGGTCCTTGTTGGTAGGATATCTCGTGTTGTGGACATTTTTTAAGTATTTGTTGTTGGGACAGGGGTGTTTGGCAAAGCTTTCGGCCCAATAGCTGACATAATCAAATGCTAATCATGCGACACAGGAGTTAATCTACATAATTAAATGAGGAAATTCAGATTCTATACATTTGTGGCTAAGAACTATGGAAGATGGGCATGTGAATTGTTTATGTGTATTACTGTAATAAATGTTCGTGTGTGTGTGTGTGTGTGTGTGTGTGCGTATGTGCATGTGTGTATATGTTAGCTCTCTCTTCAAACGCCGGTTATTCACCTGGATCGGTTTCTCTCCTCAAGTCTGATCTGGAATCACGTCCTGCGCCCAGTCAGGACCTGCCAACAGGACACTTGCCAACAGTTTACCCATCCTGGTCAGGCCGTGACGAACCTTGACCACGCCTGGGGTTGTCTATTTCTAGAACAGTATGTCTGTATGTCAGTACTTGGATCCAAAAATGTAACATAGCTAAGTAGAGACATATCCAAGGACCAAGTCGGACACGCTATGTTGTACATCAGACATGACAGGGACAAACAGACATATGAGAAACCGATGTTCAACTTGTAATCCTGGATATGATACAAGAAACGTCGTCGTGTGGGATGTCTACATAATCACTTCAGTTAGATAGATCTCATAGCTCTGGCATCCTGCCATGTACAAGCCAGGTATACGTACATTTTTTTGGTCCGTATGTCTGCGTCTCCGCATAATTCTGGTCAACATAACTAAGAAGGCCTGGATGGATTGTGATGATATTTGATATGTGGGTAGGTCTTAGCTATAGGAACTAGAAGGTCAAGGTCAAATATGGGCCTCCTGGTGGATGTCCTTGATACTGCAGCAAAATTTCTGTTTTTGTATCTTTTATCCTAGGGTTGTGATTTTTGGTAGCAGACAGCGTTTCATGTTTGATATGGATTGTGATGATATTGGGTATGTGGGTAGATTTCGAAATGATAAAGGACAGAGTTGATTCTTGTTCCATTTATTTTTCTTGCATACGGAATGGTTCTCTCATGTTTCTTGTTTTAAGAAATAGACGTAAAAGCATATTTCATTGTTTCCACTAGAGGAATTTTAAACCACCACCTGCAGGTTTAGGTTTGTTTTGTCTGATTCCTTTATCTACCGCGTGAGACCAAACATCCGACCAAAGAATTAAGGAAGTGATATTTGATATGTGTATAGATTTATCAGGACTTTAAATGATGTAAACTTTGTCTTTGTTGGCTGGTGTTCGGCGAGGTTGGCTACTGTTCGGCTGCGCCAGCTGAATGTTTGAAAATGTTTAAAACATTTGGTCATAGTTGGCTGGGTTTCTGGAGTAGTTTGGTGCGTGGTTGGCAGTCACATTTGACTCAAATTTAACTCAGACATGATTCGAAAGGTTGGCGTGGCACCTAAATCTGGTCAGACTGCTCCCGAAGTTCAGCCATGGCATCCTTGGTCGGCTGGTGTTCCGAGGAAGGTTCTGAATGTGTGACAGGAGCTTTAATTTACTTGTTACATAACGTTTGGCATACAGATGTAACGTTATCTGGATGAACTGTTATGTAAAATATGGGGAAAAGTGGGAATAGAAAAATGGTGTGATTAACTAACTCTGTGTTCATTACTTGTGCCCTTGCAGTTGCCATGGCATTAGTCAATCACAGGATGGAGTGGCCGCCCTCTACTGCACTGTGGCTGACCAGCCTCCTCCTGCTGACCACCTGGGCGCACGCCTGCCCACTGCCATGTAAATGTACGGGTACAACAGTCGACTGCTCCGAGCTGGAGCTGGACACTATCCCCGATGACGTCCCGAGAAACACAACCGAACTTTTCCTGTGTGGAAACAAGCTGACGAGTATTCCAGCCGGAAAATTCTCAGGCTTAGCGAACTTGACTGTCCTTTATGTGGACAGAAATCAGATAACAGACGCAGGCTTGTCCAGAAATGCTTTCCAGGGTTTGAGATCACTGAAGGAACTCCACCTGACGAACAACTCACTTACTGCAGTTCCCCAGGCGCAACTGAAGGCGGTAACGCGAGAGCTGGTCTACCTGGATCTATCCGAAAACAGCATTTCACAAATTCCTAAGGGTGTCTTCTCCTCTTTACGGAGTTTACGGGAGCTGAAGCTTCGGAAGATCGGGCTTCGGGAGGTATTTCCGGAATCCTTCAGTGGGATGAACAGGTAATTTGTGTTTTTATTACTGTCTATTTGCATTTAAAAGCATTTGGTAGCTGCCTTGGCTAAAAGCGCGCGACTCTACCTTTCCCCTTCCTCTTCTTCCGGTAGGCTAGAGATCCTGAACCTGGAGTACAACGACCTGGCCGTCTTTCCCAGCGAAGCCCTCCAGCGCCTGCCGTACCTTCGCCGCCTGGTCGTCAGAGGCAACCCGATATCCGAGCTTCCCCCGGCTGCCCTGGAGGGCGTGCCGGCTATCGAGTACCTGGACGCACGTAACATGCACCTGAAGACTCTGACAAGAGGAGTGTTCACCAACCTGCCTCACCTCGCCTCCATCTTCTTGTCAGGTAACACCATGTTACAGACAATCGACAAAAACGCCTTCCTCACGTTGGGAAGACTGAAGACGCTTGCCATCGATGACTGCGGACTGGAGACTCTGGACGAGTTCACGTTCAAGCAGGTCCCGTCCCTGTACGTGGTGACGATGCACGACAACCAGTGGAAGTGTGACGAGAGGATGTGCTGGCTGCGGGACTGGATGCTGTCCACGCGCGTGCACATCCCCTACATGGCCAACATCTCCTGCTTCCTTCCCGAGCGGAACGGCGGCAGGTCCCTCATCACACTCACCAGTCACGACTGTGAGGAAGACAGCGATGACGTGGACCTCAAGGTAAAGACTAAAGCTCAAACCACCGAGGGGGATACAGACAGCAAGGGAGGCAACGACGATATGACAGATGAAGAAGACTTCGACACAACGAAAATAGAAGAGTTGGATGAGCGGTCTTTCATCGTAGGAGAATCAGTTACGTACTACCGCGGGAGCAGTCGGAAGAAGTGTCCCCGGGGGTGTAAATGTAAGAAAAGGTACGTGGACTGCAGCAGACTTGGCCTGGACAAAGTCCCGGATAACATTCCTCGCAGGACGACCCGTCTATACTTGAACAATAATAACATTACGAGCATCCCCAGAGGGGCATTTAGGTACCTGAATAACCTGAAGGTTCTGGAGTTACAAAACAACTTCATCACAAGCGAAGAACTGGCCGATCACGCTTTTGACGGGTTGAAAAACCTGAAGGGATTGTACATGACCAATAACCTGTTGACCGAGGTGCCCATGTACCTCTCAGGTGTGTCTTATCAACTGAAATACCTGGATCTCTCCGGAAATCCCCTCGGCAATGTGCCTTCGGGAATTTTCCGAGGGTTTAAGATGTTGAAGGAGTTGTGGCTTAGAGGAGTTGGCATATCATCTTTGAAGAAGGGCACGTTCCGTGGAATGAGAAATCTGGAGGGTCTTTATCTACAGTACAACAACCTCAAGAAAGTCCCAAATGAAGCTCTAAGGCACAGGACAAATCTCAAGAGACTACATTTACGCGGCAATCCGATCGCTGACTTGGATGAAAGGTCTTTCAAGGGACTTTCCTCTCTTGAATATCTTGACTTGGGGTACACCAAGATGATGGATCTGAACGAATGGTGCTTCTACAAACTGCCAAACCTCGAGACACTCGTCCTCTCTGGAAACCTGAATCTCACGACGATCCACAAGAACACGTTCTCACGCCTGGGCAACCTGAAGTTCCTGAAGCTTCATGAATGTGGCCTGAAGCGCCTGGAGCCAGACTTTCTGGAGGTGATGCCGATGCTGGAGTGGATTTCCTTGTACGAGAACCCGTGGCGGTGCGACTCTACCATGTGCAAGCTGATGAGGTGGATGGAGACAACGTCAGTGAGCATTGCCAATGTGGACAAAATCAAGTGCTCTACACCAGAACACATGAAGGGTACAGCCATAACGCGGTTAATGGACGCTCCTGAAGCGGTTCAGATGTGTCAGGACGTACCGGTGAGTCCCAACGAGATTCCCGGAGGTGGCATTGACGTCAAACCGGACCCAAATGTAGTACCGCCCACTGGCGGATGCCCACTGAAGTGCAGATGTTACGGGAACATCGTGGACTGCGCAGACAGAAGTTTGAAGAGTGTTCCTGACGGCATTCCTGCCAGCACTGAGAGGCTGCATCTTCAGAACAACATGATCACAAACATCCCCGAAGGCTCCCTGTCGGGCTTGGAGGCGTTGAAGTTCTTGCACCTTGAGAACAATGACCTTACTCTACAGGGCTTGCCGCAGGGGTCTCTAAGCGCTCTGCCCAACCTGGAGGGTCTATACCTTGCTAACAACAAGTTTAAGGCTATTCCACCCGTCGTAATGAGGAATCTGGCTTACAGCCTAAAGCACCTCGACATTTCCAACAACCCCATCGGAAACATCGCGCCTGGAACGTTCGACGACTTCCAGAACCTGATGGAACTGATGATGACGAGAACCGGCATGACGGAAATATACGAGGGCTCGTTCTCTGGCTTAAAAAAGGTGCAGCGTCTATACCTGGCCTTTAATAACGTGACGACCATCCCATACTGGGAGATAGAGGACATGCATGATCTGAAAGAGTTCTGCATCGCAGGGAATCCCATCACGGACATTTACGAGGATGCTCTGAATGACGACATCGGTGTTGAGTACATCGATCTCAGCAGCACCATGATTTCTTACATCCCAGAACGCGCTTTTGTGAAAATGCCAAGCCTCAGCACCATCCTCCTCACGGGCAACAAGAAACTAACCCACATCCACGAGGGCAGTTTGAAATACTGTCCCAACCTGAAGTCAGTCGCCATTAGCAACTGCATGCTAAAATGGCTAGACCCGGCCATATTCATGGGTGTGTCGTCTCTGTCATGGGTTGCTCTACATGATAACCCATGGGTGTGTGACCGGTGTGTAGCCGGGCTCGCTCAGTGGATGAATCAAACCCAGGCTTACATACCTTACCGGAACAGGGTGACGTGCCAAGGCCCCGCAAGTTTGCAGGGAACAACTGTGGATGATCTTGAGGTGGACTCCCTCCAAGTAGGTCAGTGTGACAAGCCAGAGGAGATGCCAGACAAGCCCAGACCACAACCGCCGCCGTATCCGGGAGTCATTGACAGCGTCACGGATGCACCAGAGGTCATCCCCACACCGGTACCTGAGCGGCCAACGACCGGCGTGACGTTGGACGGTTGCCCGAGCGCGTGCGAATGTTACGAGCTGACGGTGAACTGCGCAGATCTGGGGCTCACAGAGATTCCAGCCGACATCCCTGCTGCCACGGAGCGACTGTACCTCAACAACAACCAGATCTCTGACGTCCCAGCGAACGTCTTCATCGGGCTAGCTGCACTCGAATTTCTTCATCTTGAAAACAACAAAATCACAGACGATGGTATCAAGGAGAGCTCGTCTAGCGGTTTGCCTCTTCTTGAGGGTCTATACCTGTCCAACAACCTTCTTAGGCAGTTCCCTACGATTCCTACGGACTTGGCGGAAGGTCTTCAGCGTTTTGACATCTCAGGCAACCCGATTCGCGCTCTGCCAGCAGGAACGTTCTATGGCTTCTCCAACCTGAGGGATCTCTTCGCCCCGTCGAATCGGCCTCACAGAGATGCAGACCAACTCGTTCTTCGGTCTCGACAGTTTGGAAACTTTGTATCTTGAGTACAACGAGTTAACCGTCATACCCACCATGGCCCTCCAGAATCTACGAAATCTCAAGAAGTTGTACCTCCGTGACAACAAGGTGACCGACTTGACTGAAAAAGCATTCTTCGGACTGGACTCACTGGAACTACTCGATTTGCGGTACATGCTGCTGTCGAACATACACGAGATGGCTTTCGAAGGAGCGAAAAGTCTGATGTCCGTATTACTAGCCGGCAACGAGCGGCTTCAGGCTCTTCCTCGCAATGTCTTCAGTGGCCTCCCTGAGTTACAAGTAATCCAACTCAACAACTGCGGGTTTGAGTCGATAGACGGTGGTATCTTTGCCGACATCCCCAGCCTGCAGAGCCTGACTCTCCAGGAGAACCCGTGGAGTTGCGAGGCGGCGCTGTGCTCGCTCAGACGGTGGATGGAGACCAGCGAAGTGCGGATTGAGGCTCGCGACAGGATCGCTTGCTACATGCCGGAGTCCCTCCGTGGGCAGACCGTGGACTCTCTCAGCACGGCCTCCCTGTGCCAGGGGCTGCCGCCGCCGGAATCGTCAACTGGCGCTCCGGACAGGGATCTGGTCACAGACAGTGAGACACCCGAGAAGACAGAGGCGCCTCCTGTTAGACCATTGACAACCCAGGAAGAACGAGGTGAGAGTAGTAAAATATTTGTTAGTGCTTAGGAAATATCGCTCCACGTGAAGGTATTATTGTCGTTTTTGTACATATGTTCTCAGCTTTGACTCATGGAGGGTTCGAGGAATTTGTCTGATCTTCGGTATATGGTTAGTTGTCGTGGTCCAGATAGTCATTTTTTCATCGTATCTGTATTTTCAGGTATTGGAATTAAATATTCCGATATCCCCATGCCATGGTGTGGTATCGTTTATCATCAACAACTGTTGTCCACTGTTGGAATTGTGTAACAAAAAAAGTTTTCTTTTTCCACAGTGACCACGCGCCCAACCCAGCCGACTCCGACGCGGCCAATGGTGACGGAAGGACGACCGTACCCACCTGTAGGGACCGAGAGACCGCCTGTCCAACCAGGTACACACATTTAGGCGTATTCATGGGACAAGGTAGAGAATGGTATAGTTTATCTATAACATTCAACATCCTGTTCCCAGACTAATCAAAATTGAAAAACCCTAGATAGAATTTGGTACTGTTATTATACTTACAATTATTCTCTGTGCCCCCATCCTGCAGGGACAGTGCCATGTCCGTCCAAATGTTCCTGTAACAATGACCTGGTGGACTGCGGCAAGGCCGGTCTGACGGAGATTCCCTCCGACATCCCGCCCAACACACAGCATCTGTACCTGGACAACAACCTCATCACAGAGATTCCGGACGGAGTCTTCTCCAACCTCGCTCGTCTCCAGGTATAGAGCAGAACTCGGCTGGATCCTTGTCTAGACTGAATTCTCGATACGAACATTCTTTTTCATTTAATCATAGTGGCGAATGGTCAGTCAAGACAATAATGTGGGGACTTCGGTTGTATGGATAATTATGAAAAAAATGTTAGTAGAGTATCAGTGATCACTCTACACAAACGAGTTTGCTGATTGGAACATTACTCGTCTCTGACGGCCAGTAATCACTTATACAGCGGGCCTACTTATGGTCTAGATAGAGATTACATTCTGAAGCCAAATGCACCCTATCTTAAAAATGTAGATGGTAGTAAAATGATGGAAGATAAAAAGGTACATGGCTTTTGACAACTTTCTTTCGGACATAATTCCCATATATTAAAATAGTCAGCCCTAATACTGTCCTTCCCTCAAAACTGCTGTTCTCCAGGTTCTGGAAATCCAGTACAACATGATCACCAGTGAGAGGATCGGCCGGCGCGCGTTTGACGGCCCTGCCAACATGGTGTACCTGTACCTGACCGGGAACCGCCTGACACAGATCCCGCTGGACCTGCCGGCAACGCTCGAGTACCTCTTCATCGAAGAAAATAACATCACCGGTGTGCCCAGCGATAGGTGAATTTCGTAAAGTTAATTACGTAAACCTAATTTGCATGAGAAATTGTCATAATTTAACTGTCGAGAATTTCATACCGCATTTGGAATCTAAGTGAAGGTACCCATTGTTAAACATAAGCTGTTCTCTCATTTAAATGGTTATATACTAAACTAAAATGACACAGTTTATTCAGATGATTTTTGTGATAAGCCTAGCAACAGCCAGGGAGCTCTAAACTAACAGTTGGTCCAAAGATCTGTCCTTATGTGACTTGACATTGATCTTTCCACCTTTCCTCCTGTAGGCTGCAACAGTTCCAGGAGTCCGTGCCGTCCCTGACCTGGCTGTCCCTCCATCAGAACCCGTACGAGTGCACCTCCGCCAGCATGTGCGCGTTCCGCCGCTGGCTGTCCACTACTCGCGTCACCATCCCCTTCAGAGAGAAAGTTGTCTGTATGGAACCGAGCTCCCGACAAGGACGCCTGGTAGAAAACATCTCCGAAGACGAGATGTGCAGCGACGGAGTCACAGGAGTCGTCACAGAGCCGACAGACGAGAGGGAAGAGGAGATGTCAGGTGACTTCCCAACGACCACAGAACCTTCGTTCCTCATCTCGAGAACAACTTACCGCCCTCCGACAAGACCGCGTCCCAGAGCAACCCGACCGCCATGGACATCTAGCAGACCCCGCCCAACATCCAGAGTGCCTACGGAGGGAGAGATCTTCCCTGAAGCTGACGGTACGTGTCCCGATGCGTGCCGGTGTGAGTACGAGTACGTGGACTGTAGCTATGCTCAACTGAACGAAGTGCCAAGAAACTTGCCGTCCACCACGGAGCATCTCTACCTCAACCACAACAATATCAAGTCCGTTCCATCGAGGGTGTTTTCCAATCTGAAAAGGCTCACAGTATTGGAGATGCAACATAACCAGATAACAAGTGATCAGATTGCAGATGACAGCTTCGTCGGACTGGACAACCTTTTGTACCTGTTTTTGTCCAAGAATCAGCTTACAGACCTTCCTGTCAATTTACCGTACACACTACAATATATAGATCTGGACGGAAACCAGATGCAGGCAGTCACAGACTCGATTCTGTCCACTCTCAGCAACCAGCCATCTCTGAACTGGGTTTCCCTGCATGAGAACCCGTGGGCTTGCGACGCCAGGCTCTGTTTCCTCAGACAGTGGCTGGATGAAACAGACATGGAAGTTCCGAATCGTGACAAAGTCTTGTGCGCCTCCCCGTCCTACCGTCGCGAGCAGCCCGTCGGCGGCTTTACCGTGGAAGAGATCTGCGACACGGTGCCGGAAGCAGTGACAACAGAAGAACCGCGACAACCAGAACCAGAGAGGCCTAAGGCGCCGATCGTACCCGAAGAAGGTTCTGCAGAGGGATCGGGAGATTTAAACCCCATAGTAAAAACCCCTGATCGCCCTGATGTTCCCATCTTCCCAGACCTGTATTTCCCTACCTTCCCTCCAGTTCAGGGGAGGCAGAGAACTACTGTGGCGCCTGAGAGAACAACCATTGCTGACTATGACGAGGAAGACACCGGGGAAGACACATGTCCAGACAGCTGCCGGTGTATCGAAGGTTATATTGATTGTGGCTACCAAGGTCTTATCGAAATCCCTCCCAATCTCCCTGCAAACGCTTGGCATTTGTATCTCAACAATAACAACATCACGTCCATCCCAGCGGGGATTTTCAGACGCCTGTCAAACCTACGGGTTCTGGAACTTCAGAACAACGAGATTGTGAGTGAGAATATCGCCAGCGAAGCCTTCAGCGGAATGGATAACCTCCTCTACCTGTACATGTCCAATAACCTGCTGACAGACGTGCCAAACAACATGCCGAACAGTCTGGAGTATGGCTACTTTGACTATAACCAGATAGGTAGCATCTCCGAGGCTTCTATGGGGTGGATACTCAACAAAAATCCGTCCTTGCAACTTATTGCTCTCAACGACAACCCGTGGAGCTGTGACTTCCGCCTGTGTCCCTTGGTCAGTTGGATCGAGAACAGCTTAGTCTACGTGCCTGACATAGATAGGACCCAGTGCTCCTCTCCATCTAACCTGGCGGAAAGGAGCATCGACAGCATTGCAGAACTCTGTGAGCGACAGACACAAGGCGAGACGAATTTGTTGCCAAGCGAACAGCCGGGTGCGTTCCTTGAACTTCCCTCTCCACGGCCGAGAGGGGGTCCGGCTATCGACGGCGACTTCCAACCTGGACGACTAAACGGGGTGCCGACCGTACCCCCCACAACCACCGCCGCCGCCCCGCGCGCCACTGTGTGTCCGCTCGGCTGTACATGCGACAACTACGGCTACGTGGACTGCAGCAAACTCGGCTTAACAAGTATTCCATCAGATCTGCCACCTGATACGAGACACCTTTACCTGGACGATAACAGCATCGCTAACATCAAAGTAAAAGACCTGGCCAACGTACCACAGCTGAGGGTCCTGGAGATCCACAACAACCTCGTCACCAACGACGGCATCGAGCAAGGAGCATTCAACGGGCTCCGCAAACTGGAGTACCTGTACCTGTCTGGGAACAGTTTGTCGTCAGTCCCGGTAGATCTGCCCCCCACGCTGAAGTCCCTGTACCTGGACAATAACTACATCTCCACCATCCCGCCCACGGCTCTGTCTCAGACTACCAACCTGGAGCGGCTCTACCTGGAGAACAACGCCCTGACAGACGACGGCATCACCCCGGGTTCCCTGGCTGGAGTCACAAACCTCAAGTACCTCATCCTGTCCCAGAACCGCCTCAGGTCGGTCCCGTCGGAGCTGCCCAAGTCACTAGAGGTCCTGTCACTGGAGGACAACAGACTCACGAAGTTACCGCCGTACAAGTTTTATGAGCTACAGGACCTGGAAAGGCTGTACCTGAATAACAACAGTCTTACTAACGACGGCATCGCGGATGAAGCATTCGAAGGTTTGTGCTAGTCTGGTATAATACGCCATACAAAAGATCTTTTTGACTTTTATGTTTCGGGAGCACACCAACTCTCCTGTTATGTTATCTCTCTATTTGGCTAATTTCTACTCTTTCCAACAGCTTCCGGAGCCTGGTAGACCCTAGCTTGTGAATGTGTATAAAGCTTGAAACACTGTTTGTTTAAATTCTAGCTTATAGTATTTTCTGGCGGTGCACAGTAAGTCTGCCTCCTGTAGGCTGTTCAAGTGCGAACTATAAATGTTTATAAAACTATAAAACGTTTTGTTGCAAAATTGTAATCAAAATGCCGCTTACACTTGCAGGTATGATCAGTCTGGAGCGGCTGTACCTGTCCAATAACAGCCTGAGCGCCGTTCCGTACAACCTGCCGCGGACGTTACACCAACTGTTCCTGCAGGATAACCGCATCACGGCGCTAGAACCCTTCACGTTCTCCACCCTGCCGCAGCTCAAGCGTCTGTACCTCAGAGGCAACCGGCTCACAGATAACAAGTCAGTCGATGCTCCATACATATGACGCGTTTATCACCATTATATTTATATTAGTTGTAGGTTTTGCCGCTATGTAATGCTTTGACTGAGGTCGACTACAAAAGTCGGTAACTGTATGTATAAATGCAGGTTATTATGTTTTCTTAACATTTTTGTCAGCTAATAGGAGTGGTTCTGTGTACGATCTGTTGTCTGTAGAGTCGCCGACCAGGCGTTTGATGGTCTGGGAGACTTGCAGTTGCTCGACCTGTCCAAAAACAACCTGACCTCCATCCCTGATGACATGCCGAGGAGTCTGCAGAAACTTTACCTGGAAGGTGAGCGTTGGCAATTTTGCTGTTCAATAAACATTTCCCCAAGGCCACGAAAGGTCATAATATTTCAACGATTTGTTATCGTTTGTTTTCAAGGTGCACAATTTAGATGATTTAACTGAACTAAACTGTTCTCCAACTCAAAGAAATTAGCTCACCGGAATTTTCGACTGAACACTCGGTCTTCATCAGCTTTCTGACCAGTGCTATAGACGCGTGATTTTTTCCACGTGTGACGTCAGCACTGGGTCGTCGGAAGTCGGTACCGCCCCCCGCCCGTCCCGGTTGAGAGAGGGTTGGTGTGCGTGTGCCCTGATGAGGATGGTTTCTTTCACTGTCTCGCAAATGATGGACGTTAATGCTATAGCTAACGCACAATTAATCTTGCCATTCTACCAGGTAACGAGCTGTCTACACTACCTCTGGGGGCCTTCAAGAAGGTGGGCTCCCTGACTGAGCTGGACTTGAGTAACAACCTCCTGCGCACATCGGGACTTCACCCCACGGCGTTCTCGTTCCTCCCGCAGCTGGAGACGCTGGACATGTCGGAGAACCTGCTGACCCTCCCACCGGACAACCTGCCGAATGGACTCAGATATCTCTTCCTGCAGGTAAACTAGTGTTTATGGCATTATGTTCACCATCGCAGAAAGGTTACATGTTTTGTTGCAATACTGTAGTTCAATACTGGCAATTCTGTGCTATAGAATATTCCAAAATAACTTTTGCCCAAAAGTGAACTACTAGTACTGCCAGTCTAAAATGGAGCTGAATGGAAACATTCGAATTCACTGAAATATGATTTGCTCGCGAGCAAATGTCGGCCCTTCTATAGATAGGGACGTGTTCTAGTCCCACCAACGCCTCTGCACCCGCTAAGCTGTTTTTTCTTTTTCTTTTTTGCCTGACGTGATTCCGGTGTTCTTCCATCCCGTTACAGAGTAACGACCTGACCGCCATCAAGCGCGACGCCTTCACCCAGCTCAACAACCTGAAGTGGCTGTACCTGCAGAACAACCGCATCACGGACGACAAGATCGAGAGCGGCGCGTTCGAACTCCTCCTGGAGCTGTACAGCCTCGACATGTCCGCCAACTATCTCACCGAGGTCCCCAGAAACCTGCCCGACTCCCTCGAGTACCTGTACCTGAAGGACAACGACATCGGGCGCATCCCCGGGGACGCCTTCTCCAACACGCCCAAGCTGCGGCTGCTCCAGCTGGCCAACAACTTACTAACGGACGGCGGGATCGACAGGAAGGCGCTGGCGGACCTGCAGCACCTGCGCACTCTGGACTTGTCTGGCAACTTTGTGACGTCAGCACCACTCGGAGTGTCCGAAGAGCAAGTGGAAATAACACTATAGGGTTCAGTCAAGTTATAGCAAATCTCCAAATACCGCCGGACAAAAGAAAAGACACCCCTATGACTCGTCTGCATGGGAAATTTGAAAGAATTGTATATAAATGCGACATAACGTGACGGCTGTTCTGACGTCGGCCATGGCATTCAAGCTTCTATGAAACGTTATGTGGGTCATTTAGAGTCCAAATTGAAAGGAAATCTCTAGGGTACAGATCAACACTAATACACGTAACGGGTATAAAAGAGACTGAAAGGCAGACATTGCTTGGTTTGTTACGTTGGGGACATTTATCCCCCAGGTAGTGTGTAGGGGATAGTCACCTGAGTTCTGACACTTGTAAAGTCTGACTAGAGGTTGATCCAAGCTAGATGTCAGACAGACCTCAAATACATACTGCTTGTGTTTTGTACAATATAGGTTAGGAGGTTTTGTACCTCAGGTCCCGTTCGTATATTCCCTTTGGCTAATGAATGTTACGCCTTATAGAGTAGATTTTATCGTTCTAATTTTTTTGTGCTGATAGAACAGACTTAGCTTACGTACCTGTGTAATGAAGTATACTAGTAATCCTCGGTAGAGATAACTTGTTAGAATTTCGTGGATTGCAAAAATACAGAAATAGAGACAGAAACCTGTGCTGAAATAATCTGTGCTGACTTCTGTTCTTCGCAATTCGGTTCTGTAGAAGTAAAGTGAGCGAAGAGATGAGGAATGACCTTTTCTTAATATCTGTAAAATTGATTAATCATTTAAAGCGTATGGGTCAGTGGTACATGTAGACGTAGAAATATGATATTTGTTCTATGATATTGGAAATATCTTTGGACACGTCTAAAAAGTAAGGTTGATGAATGTTCAATATTATATGATGTTTTCATATCTACTGATTGAAAACGCTGTTTTTCTTACATTTAGTGTAAGACAACATGAAGACAGGAATTTTTATCATGTTCGGCAATATATTGGCGTATATATAAGTATAAGGACATGTAGGTGACTAGAGCTCGGTATGTATGTGTTATATTTAAGTTGGGCACAGTACTAATGTGGAATGTAAAGTGATGTTGATTGTTGTTTTATGGTCAACAGCGGTAATTCTGTAAATACACACGCGTACGATCTCTGAAATCGGAAATAAAGTCATGAAGGGCTATTTCGTCTCCACTCCTCAAACACTGGACCTCTGTGGCAGCATGATGTGAACAGCACGTCTGCAGAACGTGCACGCACTTACAAAGTATTCATACTTGTGTCATATCTATGGCCCTTTTCCCACTAGAATAAAATGTCCGGATTCGGTTTGATCCGGTTTCGAGTCGGCTTCGAGAACAAGCCGAATAGAAGCCGGATCAATCAAAGCGAATAAACTCGGCGCGATCCGGACAATTTTATCCTGGCGGGAATGGGGCCTAAATTGGTTAAAAGTGAACATGACCGGCACCATGCATGTGTTCATGATATAAATTGCACAATCAATTATGAAACGTTGAAATGGAATTCTGCCAAAGGATAAGACCTTCACATATACAATATATATAATTTCGATAGAGAAGACTATCAATCGCGAAATTGATTGTGCTTATTAAAACCTTATTTCCATAATCAGGGGGACAAGATAACAAAAAATCTACAAAAACTCGGAGGTATGAAATCTCTGAACTCTCGCAGCACAATTGTGCGTGAGTTGAAACAGCTGCATATGATAAACTCCAACCTCAGGATTTCTCCGAAAGGGGGAAAACAAATTTAATGAAACCAAGCAACCTGGGATATCTTGGGTCACGGCCAAACAGATTATGTTTGGTCTATCTGTTTCTATATCAAAATATACTTAGGTAGTCCAACAGCATACCAATTGCTGTTTGGGTTTCGTAAGTTGATGCTACTGCTACATCAAAACTTTTGATCAGAAACGTTTTGCCTTCTGTTGGTATCAGTTAATGATATCTCCTACCTGCCTCCACTGTGAAGAAGGCGCGCGATTCTAAAGTTATGAAACAATCGTAGTTCAGCCTCCATCGTAATTATAATTTGCACAATTTTCCAGCTGTGTCGTTGGACTAATAATACCCTAATGGTGGGTGAAGACATAGGCCGTGTCTATACGGAACCACCCAAGGCGCGATTCGGGTAACTCACATTCCTCACATCTGGTCCACGTGCCACACACACCTGTGAAACCGTGTCCGAACACAATACGCTTGAGCTACATTTATTGCTGTTTGATGATAACACGCAAGGCTGCGTGTTATTAATGTCAGAGGTCAACGACCTGCTTGCTGATGCCCCCCTCCCAGCGTATCTCGGCCGAATGCCGACGTGGTCCCGCCAGAGGCGGTGAAGCTCGCCCTAGAACGGACACATTATTTGACCATTACTGCTCTTTAGGTTGCTGCCACGTAAAAGTTGGTATTGCATATAAAAAAAGAAATATCACTCCGTAATCCATGACCAGGCGAAGTCACATTGAAATCACATTGCGTTCAGACGCAAATCGCGATGCGGGGAAAGCGATTCGAAACCACCTCTAGAAGTGGCTTGGGATCGAGGCGCTTTCAATGTGATTTCGGAGCGTTCAGATGGAGCCACTTGAAACCGGCTTCGGGGTAAACCACATGTAAACCGCCTTGGGTGGTTCCGTATAGATACGCCCATAATCTGCATAGGTCATGGGCATGATTTTTAGCGAATTATGTGAGAAGTTATGTGATTGTTGAACTTGTGTAACATCTCACGTTGCCAGCGCCTGCAGGCCTTGAGCCTTGACTTTCTAGAATTCCCGAAATCGTAGACATGGGAGGTCAGCTCCAGATCCAGCACCAGTCTGACATTAGGAACTTCTCATTAGATGCAGATGTGGAGATGTCGTTCCGGAAGAGTTTGTGTTAGTGGGTCACCCGTGTCCCGGCGATCTCACCCCCCTCCCCACACACACCCCGCAGTGATTTCTTGGATGTCTTCTTATCATTAGTTTGATGTGAGTGTTGACAGCTCCTCTCAGAGACAGTAGTCCTTTTGTTGCCGAACTTATAGTTCGATTTGATTTCGAGGTTTGATTTCTCTACAAGAAGAGGGTCGTTTTGTTTCATCAATATCTTTGTCAGTCGTACGGTGCGGCAACAATGATGCACCAGACCTCACGTTATGTCCATCCTTAGCCTGGCTGCCAGACCCACAGCACACTAGCTGTGCACTCTGGATAAGTGAGCCTAGTGTGATGTGTGTCTGCCAGCCAAGCTAGACCATCCTCACACCCGTGAAAGACATCGCACACCGTATTTGTGGGGCCACGACAACCACCTGTCATATGTTCGAGGCCACGCGGTGTTTCCAACAATTTTACCAATTCGTACTGCATGTCCGCATCAGGTGTACAGCAGGTTCTCTACAGAAATAGCCTGGGTGCCAACCGATTTGTAACGGGGCTCTTTGCACTCGAGCGCCCGAAGAAATCGATTTTTGATCGGGCGAGCGAGTGCAAGCAGCCCCGCATCGGATGTCAAAACTTCGTAGCCTCTACCAGGCTTCGGGGTGCTGCCAGCCGCTTTCCGAAGCCTGGTAGAGGCTAGGAAATTCTTAGAACAGTCCTTGGTGTGCGTTGAAAGAAGTGTATTAGTGCGACGATTTTTAGTGTATTCTGACAAATCATATGGACTCCTGACTGTGACTGTCAAAGAACTTCGTACAATTCGAGTTCGACAATTTTCACGACACTCATTAGACTGTAGACGTAACATTGGTTTCACTGACAACGTTTGGAAGATCGCAGGGAAGTTCCAATACGTGAATGGCCTCAGATGACCCATAATTATAATTAATTATTGATCAAAAGTAACAACATTGCCTGAAAGGATAAGCCATTAGGTGCTAACTAATGCGTAAATGTAGATGCTCTTTCGTCATGTTCGTCCTCCTCTCCTATTTGCGGAGAGGACAAAAGAGACTCTGCAGCTTAAGTAGGTTGTGGTTTAAACCAGGCTATAGGTATAGGGGCATCTGTTCGTGAGACATGTAAAACCTATTCACTCGGCAGCAGCTCTGGTTACACAATACGAGCGGCGCGGAGTGCAGCAAAGGGTTCCGGTTTCCGAGTTCTCAGTCCGTCCGCGTTAGTAAAATTACCGAGTTTGGCGACAACAGAAGATCGTCCTAACCCCCGCGGACACAGCGGGCTGAGATGAAGTCTGCTGCGGGGTGCCGGGTCACGAGGTACATCGGGACTGGAGGGGTCTAATATTCCTGTGGAACCGGCGGTTTGGACGACGGACGACCTTAGATAGTGTCACGCTAGGTAAATAGAACAACAATCCGCTAGGATAGCCGTCCATCACTGCGGACATTTCGGACAGGAGGTTGTCACCACATCTGCTACTGTCTCTCAGACTGAAGAAGAGCGGCACAGCGGCACAGTCAGCTACTGTATCCAGATTTACGTCCCAACAACAGCGTCCTGTTTCTGCAATCAAAAGGGGGGCACAATCAAGGAATTCCGTCATCCTTCAAGTGACACGAGCCGGGACTGTCAGCCAACAAACACGAGCCGTGTTGTCATCTTGCTGGCAAATGCCACCGTGAAACACCAGGTAAGCATAGATACGGTCCCGATCATGACCTCGATATAGATACATCTCTATCTAACTACTAGTATGTCACGAAGGCCAGGGGAAGAATAAAGTAAGTACACTTCTGTCTGGTTTCTGGCCAATGCTTTTGCGATATTGTCAACATGCCAGTATTATTTCTGCCGGACAAGACAGACAGGAGAGGGGAGAGTGCTCGTTTCAGTAGCCTGGTTGCAAGGCGCAAGGCCACCATACAGGCAATAGCTCCTCGGCTCCAGGGTCAATATGTCCACAAGGAGATTTTACCACAGACCACTTTAGACACTGCTTCGCATGGTCTAACTTGGGGCTAGTCTGTGAATTGGCTCTGAGAACAGTCTGGCATCTAGGCTATCATTGTCGAGGATCAGCATAATTTGCTGGTGTCTACAGGATAACATATCACACCAGTAACAAGGAAAAACAGCGTCCCAAGTGGAGATAGCGGCGGGACAATACCAGCTGTTGACAGGCGACGGAAATATGACCAGACCGTTCATATTGGTATGTCACATACATTCATCGGGAAATATACAGTATGTGGAAAATCCTCCTCTACTACAGCTTCTATTGATCTCTACTACCTCAGTGAAAACATACCGTCTTTCAAAGGTCATAGCAGGAAGCGGGGGTAGGTTGAAAGCAGGCTTAGCAGTGAAGCAAAATAAACATATCAGAGAGAGTGGTATTCCCCTTATTCTACTGACTCGGGGGGCAGGGAAGCAAGGAATTCGCAGAGGGCATGACATCGTCACCTTAGTCACCGTGGTTTCTGACACTTGAGGAATCTTGAGGCAGTCACAGTGTCAGTAGGGGAATATGGTACAAATAGTAGAGTAGACTAGAGTCTACGGTCGGGTAGGACATCCGTCCTTAGATGGGAGGAGTTGATAGTTTTTGTGCTCGTCTGTATAATTTCGCTGATGGCTGTTGCCGATTAAAAAGACCGCAATGATTTTTTGTACTAGTTTGGACCATTGCCATCGCAGCCTTTTCTGGTTAAAAAGAGCACTCTCCCCAGCCTGATTTACGGAGTGTACACCGCACACTGTGCCCTCGTTTTTCTTCTAGGGCCTTCTAGCAGTGTTACGAGCGCCGCCAACATTCCCATCTGTCCGTTTGTGTTGTTTGTGAGGTATTCACTGATTCAGCATTGAGTGGGGCGAGATGTGACGACCACTGACAGAAGGACAGGAATGTGTCACGAACGGGAACAGAAAATGCCTTGTGGTCACCGTTATTTTACCTCTAGAGAGTAGGGCAGGGGGGGGGGGTTCTATATTGGTCGCCTGTATCCAACGGCCCGAACAGGGGTTCTGTTTTGGGTCGCGTTTGTGTGTTCGCACCTATAACTCACTACCCCTTCGACGGATTTGTTTTGAGTTCGGTACGTCGTTAGTTGTTGAGGTCGTAATGAAACATGTAGATTTGGAGTATTTCATGATTCGACAGCACTCATCCCCACCCCCGTGTGCCATGTGGGGTCGTCCATTGTTGAGAGATGTCGTCATCTTTGTGTATGCCGATGTGGGTTAATTCATCAACTTTTACAAAAATGGGGGTGGACAGGCCCAGAAACAAAACATCCCCAAGGCAGTTAATCCAAATTGAGGTCATTAACCTCATACGAAAGCTGACGTTTTATTGAAAAAGGTTATACCACACTACTTTCAGGAGGGGGGGGGGTAGTCTGTAGTGAACTTGATGGGTAATGCTGGTGTCAGAAACTTCCCAGCGTATTGATTGATCATTGATAGTGATGCTAGCGAGATGTCGAACCTGGAAATAGTAATTTACATTAGTATTAAGATATTGCTAGCTGTATTTTTTTACCCCTTTATTCATGACCTGTACTTAACTTGAAAGAGCATAAATGTACAATAAAGGGTCTTTCATAAATTGTCATATCACCCATCACCAAGTCCTGTAGTGTTACTGGTAACATTGCTGTATTGTGAGTATCTGAAGTTGCCGACAGACGTTGTCAACACTGTGCGCTATATACTTCCCGGAGGTTTAGAATCTCAGATTTCTTGTTTTATCAGATGTTAACGTTTTGGTTCACGAAAACTTCTGAACATCTCGTCTTGAAGTTATTAGCACCTTCACCAGGAAGGTTAATAATGTTTTCGGTCCCGTACGTCTGTGGATGATATTTGGGGTGTGGATAGGTGTCGACAAGTTCGGCGATGGGTCTCCTGTCGGCTTTCTGTTGCCAGTCGAGTGTATCAAAGTGTTTAAAATATTCGAGGGAGGATGGGGGGATCGGCCATGGTTGGCTGGTATTCGGAAATAGGTCGGGGCGTAGCTAGCAGTCAAATTTGACTCAAATTTGTTTAGGTTCGTAACGAAAGTTAGGCGTGGCCTAAATCTGGTCAGACTACTCCCAAACTTCAGCCGGTGTTCGGAAGACGCATCTGAATGTGTGACGGGATATCAGAAGAAGGTAATCTCCCCTCCAATATCTGGCCATATCTGCTAGGAGATGTAGATGCCCCCCTCCCCGTCAGTACGACTGAACAGACCCCGAGTGTCTGGAATTCTCCCCGGCGGGCACGTCCACGTGAAGTGGGCACTGTTCACAGCAGCTGCTGACATTTCAGAGACGACACAAGAGAAATAGCAGTTGTTGTAGAAGGTCGTCCCTGGAGAGCCGGGGAACCACTTGTATAGTCCACAACGCTAGCCGATAGGTCAGGGTGCTGTGAAGTATGGTTGGTTCTTGATGAGAGGTAATTTTAAGCCAATAAATTGTGCATTGGCAGTTGTGATGAAGATTCACGAATAATCAGTCAAATAACATCTAAGCCATCACAAACTTTCTAAACAACAGCAAAAACAAACGAAAACTTGTCTACTCTGTCCGCCGACCCCTAATCACTGTTTGACCTTCCAGTTCGGTAAAGTTGTTCTTGAAGCACGTACTATTTGGGTGTTTGAAATGCCGGGTCTGGTCGTGGCGGTATTTAATAGTGCTGTGTGTCCTGATCACCCCCGGTGCTGGGAGAGGACTGTGGAGAAGAGGTCATGTGGAAAGCTGTGTCTCATTAGGCCCTGTATTTTGCTGGCATGTCTGCCGAGTGCCAACTGAACAGACAATCATTGTTTCTCGTCACCTTTCTAAAGGAGGAAGTCATTCTTCTACCCAGGCAATAGAGAATTGAAGGTAAGAAAATACTGCGGACCTCAATAGTTTGGAACCTAGCACTGATTCCAGTAATGAAGAGTATCAGCGTGTCAGGTTGGACATTGGTGATAGGTCGTTCTTGTTCTTGTATCGTAAAGATGCCCAGATATGACTGAACATGATTAGGCTCCGGGGAGATGGGACGAAATCTTGACCTGATCTTGCAGGGTTGCAGGAAGCACGTTTTGTCTGAACGCTTCTCAGTCTGCATATCTGATGAACTACAAATCAGATTCCGGGATATCGGTATCATATATCAGGCCCTGTGCCATTGTCGCCAAACACGACAGCCAGGCCATCGTAGGCTCCCCGGTATCTCTACGGTGTGGGGAGCACTGCCCGCCCGCCCAGGTCTACTTGCACACACCGGGGTATTTTACGTGGTTGGTTTCAATTAGTTCGCCTGCGAAATACGACAATAATTAGAGGGGCAGATTGGAAATGTCAGGCCTATTCGTAGGTCTGGGGCCGGTAAAACACTCCTAAGCCGACCTGAGGAGAATAGTAACCAGGCTACCTGTGCTGTCCTATATAGTATATAGGCCACCGATGAAATTGTGGAAACAGAGCACGACAAGGCCGCGCCCCATGCACAAGTCGTTTGTAGAGAATTCCAGAGTTGTTTGTTCCTGGCCAGGTCCAAACTGAGAACTCCAACCGACAGACACATAATCATCATCGTTTGGGGCCTCAGGACTGGTGGTGAGCTCAGTTCTTTAATGTAGCCGTCTTCATGGGACTAGCTGATCTAACAAGCTTAATTGATTGATTGATAGAAAAGGTCTTGAAAAAAGTTTAATACTTTGTAATGCCACTGGTTGCCGTCCTTATGGGTAATGTAGGCTAGATAACATTTATAGTGGATAGCGGAGTGTTTGTACTATTTGTGTACTTTATGGAGGTCTTGCTTTTGGTCTGTCACAGCATCTTGAGATTGTGAACCATAACCACAAGACCACCTTGCAACCTTATGCAATAAATTATGTAAATGTGAAGCTCATTTACATAATTAAGGGTGAAATGTTTTATTGGATATGACTTACTTTTTTTACATATACAGTATGTATAATTTAAGGAGAGAGGACTATCTGAAATAGATTGTGTTATAAATGACAATCTTATTTTCATGATGAACGAGACGAAATTTCCAAAAGCTCTAAATCATTCATGTATGGATATTACAGGGATATTATTGGGCGATCAAAGGACAATGAAAAAATAAATGGTTACTATTCTGGATCCAGAGGTTAGTAGGACAATGCTCTGTACACTATCTCCGGCTTCCAGACAGAACAAACAGACAAAATAAACACCCGAGCTACTTCCCAAACAGTTGTCCAATGGACACGGTAAACTTTAAACTAGCCCGCCCACGAGTCAGCTGTCAGGAACAACAGACGTGTGGGAGGTCCGGGACGTGACCCCAACTTCCTAACTAGTACAATAACTACACGTGATATGTACAAGTCATTTGCAAAGCCATACCCGAGGGCTAATTGCACGTACAGGGTCAAAGAAGTAAAGTAAAAGATATAGATAACCGCTGTCTGATCAACTTATATAATGCTACTGAGTTTGCTATCACAGTTTGCTATTATGTTCTTTGAAGGCAGTGGGTAATGAAAAGTCTCACGTTCTGCATAATGATTGGGTTTTGTGATCTTCTTAGTAACAGTAGAAACGTAGTGATCTTCAAAACGGTTCAAGGATAACTGCTTGAAATAACACGTTTCTGTTATAGTCTCTTGGCGAATGCACTGACTACTGAAATGTATTTCATTTTCTATACTGCGTGTATTGGGCAATATTTTCATAATCTCTCGTGGGCACTTATTCTTAGTCTCCACCAGACTCCTTTGCAGGCAATCAAACTGGACCCTCTATGGCCGGCCAACTCCTTTTAGGCCGATTTCTACTATTTATTCAGCCTGCAAAGGAGTCTGGTGGAAACTAACTTATTCTTATCTTACGTATGGCGGACCGTTTATCAGACTCATTGTGATATGGATACTGTGCTGGTAGGCAACGAGAAAAGAATGGGCGATTCGGATAAAATGTGTAGTTCATGAACAATCAGGTCACGTCAACTACATTCTCCCACGCAGAGCAAATATATCCCGCGGCAATACTGCCTTGGAACAAACAAGCTCTGCGTGGGAGAATGGAAAATTCATGGTAAACATGACGATTAGAGATGGTAGACTACAGCCCTTCTTGTCATACACACACAATAAGACACATTATCATTTTTTTTTCATCACTGATTACTGTATCATTTCTTCACCAAAAAGGTTATTACCTTCGCCAAAATGGTAGCTTTCTTGTAATTGTGTGCGTGTTTCTGTGTGTCAAGGCTTAGATGGATTGCCCCTAATAATTCGTCAGTCATTATAAAGGTTAACGTTATTTAATATTTGGCAAAGCTGTGAGGTCGTTCGAGGTACTCAAGAAGTTACAGATGGGTCTTGGTATTTGTATATAGATGAGCAGTGTTTCTTGGTACTGCTGTCAAGCTTTCCGATTTGCACCTCATGTTCTGAACATTTTGAGTGGCCTTTTAGTAGCATCATCATTTATGTTACAATTCCGCAAAGATTTATCAAAACCGTGTCTAAACTTCATCCTTGCTTCAATACGTCATCCATTATAGCTCATATTTTGGGAGTTATGCCGTTAATATTGTTTTATGGCACTTGATGAAACCGATCGTGACAGGCTGCCGGTCTGAAAGATGTCGGATAGCTTGAAGATTGAATCCACTCTACTTTACAGTGTTTTATAATACTTCTTAGTGTTAAGTTAAACCGTATGCGTGCCGCTGTTCCACCATGTGAGCACTGTTCTTGGAATACCTGTTCGGCCTCTGTGCCGCCCGCCCTATGATAAAAGCTGTCGGTCATACAGGCGCCCGGCCACACGTTTCACAACCTTCTCCCGACCACCAATGAACCAAGGTTGCAGTCTGACTGCCAACTACGCCCCACCGGAATGTGCTTCTTACGACATTTATCCTTTCACATTTGTAAAGTAGGTCTTAAAAAGATGGAAAATGATATTATGTACATTAGTATCCTGGTAACGTCTGCTTTTTGTAAGACCGTGGAATGTAGATGATCCTGTAAACCGTATATAACCTGCATTCCTCCCGTGAAAAACAATGTCGCTTCTATGCAGAAGTAACGTTATACAAGGCGTGGAAGTCTGTCTTTGCTCCGTGACGGGTTCAACAGACTTGACCTCATTAGTGACAGAATGTGCAACCGCGTGTTTCCCCTGCCGAGAGCACCGGGAAAGATCCCAATACGCTGTGGATGGGTTTATTACACTCACCATGCCCATAACCATGCCCCCTCTCTAAAAGTCCAAGATTTTTCTTTAAAAGATGGACGGATTCGTATCACCAGCGAGGCTGGAATCGTAGAAAATCTGGTCACTTTGTCATTGAATAAAACGTTATGTCTGATTTTTCCTTTGAAAGCCATTTCAGAAGGTTCAGTTTTCAAAATTATCCTCCTAGATCCTCTAGAAAGTCCCTCAAAATCCTAGCTACGGGTATGTGCATTATTACAGTCTAGCCATTATACCTGTGGCCAAATGTCTTCTGTAGTGGTAAATTATTGTCCTTCTATGCGGGTTTACTTCTTTCAATCTACAAATAAGAATATTTCCATGTTTTCCTGATGTTCCAGTGATGAGTTGTCGAAGTTGTCATCTTTGATAAAAACATGTGCCCACTAGTGTTTATTTTATTCAGGTACACCAGATGTTCAGGTCTGGGTCTGTACCTAAATATTTTTACAAGTACAGATACGGGTATTAGGTACAAATCTCAGTGCTTCTCCTGACCAACTTTCCCTAGCATCCTGGAAATGTTCCACCCTTCAGTGTTGTACATCTGTCTTGAGTTTGTCGAGGTCGGACCTACACCTCTCAGGTAGCGTAAAATATAAAACATCCTGGACAAATGGAGACCGACAGACTGTTGCAAGGTGTTACTAGTATTACTTCCATGAAAAATGGAGGTATTGTCTTTAGTGTGGGTGCGCGCGTGTGTGTGCGTGTGTTTCATACCTGTAGTAGACATAACTTGGGAAGGCCTTTAAAGATTGTGATGATACTAGGAATGTGGAAATGTCATAGGAAGACAAAGGTCAATGTCAAATGTGGACCTCCTGGTGGATGACCTTGGTACTGCAGTAAATCTACCTGTTTTTATATTTTTTGTCGATCTTGGGCACGATAAGGTCTTGAGTTTATTTGGTGGCAGATAGCTTTTGGTGTCAAGAATTTGTGTAGTTGGTCACCCTAGCAGCTTGTTCTGGAACTGCAGGGGCTTATCTCTCAAAGTGGAGAGGTCCTAAAAGAAACATGTATTTTCGTGATTTTTGGTATGTAGGAAGGGAGCAGGCTGTAGTGTCGGTAAAGACGGCAGGATCGCCACAGCATCCTGTAAATCTCATCTGACATGTCTGATTGGGGACAGGTTTGTGGCGTTCCAACTCGCATCATTTGTGCAGATCTGTCTGCATGCTGACTGTCCATGTGGTCTGCATATGCTGCACTGGTCACCTCCGTAATGGAGGTTACGTTTTTAACTCCGGGAAGGTGGTTCCCCTCCTACAGAGGTTCTGTTTTGCGTTGCGTGTTTGTGTTCGCACCTATAACTCACGGCCCTCCTGATGGACCTGTTTCCATTTGGTATGTGGTTACTAGTAGTTATTGAGGTCTGAATAAAGCAATGTAAAATTTTAGCACAATTTTCAGGTAGTGCAGTACACCCCCGGGCTGAAAGTGGTGTGGTATGGCCCACAGTGATTCTACCAAGTTGCCGCCGTGCGTTGGTTGGTTGGTAGGTAGGTTGGTTGGTTGAATGGAATTGCGGTAGTATCTAATGATGTCTAATTTTTCATTATCTGTTGATTAAAGTAACTTAAACCTTACTTTCTTTATGTTTGTTACAGGTAAGATGAGGGAGGCACAGTGGTTTATCGTTCTTGCAGTTTACGGTTTGGCCCAGCGACTGCAGAGTGTCCATGGCTGCCCTCCGGAGTGCCAGTTTTGCAGCGAGGGGACCGTGCAGTGTTCGGAACAGGCACTCAAGGCGATCCCAACAGGCCTCCCGTCCTCAGTAACTCGAATCTACCTCAGCCATAATGACATCACCGTCATACCGGCATCAGCCTTCGCATCCTCGGGAAGCCTACAGTACCTACTCCTAGATCACAACAAACTGAGTGACTCTGGCATCAGCGAGAAATCATTTCAGAGCACAGCAAATCTAGAATATCTCTACCTGTCGGACAACCACCTGACAAAAGTCCCGCCAAAACTTCCTCAGTCTCTCATCCATCTAGATCTGCAGAACAATGTCATCTCAGCCATCTCCGGTCTGCCGTTCCTACAGCTCAGACATCTGGAGGTTTTGAACCTGGAGAACAATAGACTACAAAGTCAGAACATGCCAGCCAACGCATTTCTCGGGTTGAAGAATATCCGTACTCTGGATTTATCCAGAAACTCCTTCACGTCCGTGCCACAGTTAACTCTTCGTTCTGTTTCCAACACTCTCAGGCGACTGGACCTGTCCGACAACACCCTCGGTACACTACAACCGCTCTGTTTTAGCAACTACAAGGCCCTGCGCTCCTTGGACCTGACTAGAGCCGGAATCTCAAGTATCGACGCTACCGCCTTCCTGGGGACGTGGAGGTTGAAGGAACTACGCATCGACTTCAACAACCTGACCCGTGTTCCCACCGACGCGCTAGCCGAAATCGACTACTTAGAGGAACTTTATCTGACGGGAAATCCGATCAGTCTGCTGACGTCCACGTCTTTCATCAAACTTTCCGAACTGAAAACTCTCGACATAAGCCATGCGAAGTTGGGAACGTTCAACAAGTGGGTGTTTCGGAAGCTGCAGAAGTTAGAATTCCTGTCCCTGGCGCATAACCCGGGAATCTCCCACCTGGATAGAAACTCCTTTATCGACCTGCCAAACCTTCAGCACCTGGAGCTTCACGCGTGCGGACTGACCAATATTGATGCTGAAATGTTCCTTCAGATTCCTCAGCTTTCCTCAGTCAGTCTGTACAGTAACATGTGGAACTGTGCCAGCCAGCTTTGTTCCCTCAAGGACTGGCTGACGGTGACTAAAGTGATCGTTCCCAAGAAAGCCCACATAGCCTGTGAACGGCCAGCCGTGTTCCAGGGCCTGCCGATCATGGCGATAGACCGTACTACCATGTGCGTGCCCAACGCTCTGTACTCGGACTCTAATGCCGGTCAGTTAGTCTGTCCGCCTCGATGTGGATGTAATGACACAGTTCTCGACTGTAGACGAGCGGAACACAGGAAAGTCCCACGCAACATGCCGACCACAACTGAAGTCCTCTACATCCAGGACAACAAAGTGATGAAGATAACTGTCAAATCGTTCCGAAACGCCCACAAACTCCGTGAACTATATCTTCAAAGTAATTTCCTAACGAATGAACGAGTAGACGAGGGTTCCTTTTCAAGTTTGATTTCCCTTCAGACGCTCGATTTACGTAATAACCTCTTCGGGTCCTTCCCTTCTGAGCTTCTCCACGTGTCCTACGGTCTGAGAAAGCTGGATCTGTCAGGAAATCCCATCCCCGACGTGTCTGTAGAAATCTTGCGACATTTTGCAAAACTGGAAGACCTTGCCATGGCACATACAAACATCCGCAGTCTCCAAGTAGGAACTTTTGAGGGCTTAGAGCAACTGAAACAATTGGACCTTTCATACAACAAGTTCTCTATTGTCCCGTCTGGGATATTCGAAGGCCTGCACCACTTAAAGAGCATCTCACTACGAGGGAACCCCATAACAACAATGTCTGTGGATTCTTTCTCAGGGCTCACAAACGTGAGGGAGTTAGACTTACGGGAGATTGCGCTATCGTCTGTGCAGCGGGGTACATTTGGCGAGATGCCACAACTCACGACCCTGTTTCTGTCTGGGAACAAAAAACTCACGCACGTCGAGGATTACGCTTTCGGAGATCTACCACATCTGTCTTACTTAACTCTAGACGAATGTAGCATCAAAACACTGACAATTGAAGCTCTTTCCACTACGCGGCCTTTGCACCGAATCCTTCTGAACGGCAATCCCTGGACGTGTGATATCAACATTTGCTGGATGATGGCATGGTTGAATAGTGGTCAAGTGGCCAGTGCACATGGTGACGACCTGAGGTGCGCCACACCGCATCAAACAGTGGGACTGCAGCTTAGAGAAGTAGCCGGAACAATGTGCACCATAGTAAACACGAAACAACGCACTGGCATACCAGACTACCGCCCAATAATCAAACCAAAGGGTCCCAGCAAAACATTCGGACCTTTCCCTTCCCGTGAGAAGTACGTCCCCGACAGGACACGTCCTCAAGTACCTGACGAGGTCCTTCCTACCCAGAGCCCAGCACGTACCAATCCAATAGTTTTTGACACTGGTAACCACGCCGCTGACGCGGACAGAGACTCAAACATTGTAGTTTTGGTAGGACCGTCTGAGAGATGCCCCAAAGTCTGTCGTTGCAAAGACAAATTAGCAGATTGCAGTAACCGACTCTTATCTGTACTTCCCAAGACCCTACCCTCTGCGATTGTTTCTCTTCGTGTAGAAAGCACGGCCCTAGCCTCCATACCAGAAAAAGCGCTCGAAAATCTGGCAAGCTTAAAGTTCTTATACCTCCGGAATAACCGAATTACAAACGCCGGACTGCAGAGAGCCTCCTTTCTCGGTCTTGACCGCCTGAGGGGGCTATACCTTTCCAATAACCTGTTGACATCTTTTCCTTATGAACAGTTCGACATCTTATCTAAGAACATTGAGCTACTCGATGTATCGAGCAACCATCTTGGCAACCTTCCAACACTCGTGTTTCAGAGGTACAAGAACCTGCGGTCTCTGGTGCTGAGACGGGTGGGGATTACAATGCTTCCGCCGGCTACGTTCTTCGGACTGACCCGGCTTGACTCCTTGTTTCTGGATCATAACGTCATTACAAACGATTTGCGAGCATTGGGGGACGAGCATCTGAAGAGTTTGAGAATTCTCCACCTCAGCGGTAACCCAATCGTTAAGTTGGACCCCAACAATTTCAGCAAACTGAAAACCCTACAGTATCTTGATCTCAGCTACACTAACCTAAAGGCTGTCAATGTCCCCTTTCTTCCTGAGCTACGCTCTCTGCTTTTGGCGGGTAATTCAAAACTACGCCACCTCTCCAACGACACCATAGAGACATTTCCTAACATTGAGCTTCTGGATCTGCATGGTTGCAGTCTTGAATGGGTCGGAACTCAGCTGTTTCAGAAAGCCAGACTAGTCAAAGTTTACCTACACAACAACCCCTGGTCCTGCCGCGAGGAGATCTGCAGTATGGTAGAGTGGATTGAAAGCGGGAAAGTTGACGTGCCCCACACCGAGTCGTTACGATGTGCGGCTCCAAGTAAGTTCAAAGATATGGGAATACTGGAGGCGAGTCGATCTCTTTGTGGGGAAAATGATGGAGTTGACTACAGAATAACGGAGCAGATAGTCACCGAGCAGACATTTCCGCGATCTACTATGGGCAGACAATATACATCCCCGATGGTGACAACAATGTCCACATCAACAGAACGGAGTTTCACGAGTACTTACTCTGAACATACAGACTTTACCACGCCGACAACTGAACCTACAGTGCACCAGAGCACACAGCTTCAAACAACAAGTTTGCCTAAGGGACGAGGGGAGCATGGCAGCGAAAGCACAACTGCAGCAACTGGCAGTGGCGTAACATTATCACAACACTTTCCATTTAGTGACACGGAAACAGGGGTGATACCAACAACCCAGACACCGCGAAGGAGATATTATGACATAGAAGATGTGGAAACGGGAGAGGGTAGGGCAGGCAGCTTCTGCTCACCAGGCTGTACTTGTTACGGGTCGTCAGTGAGGTGCATACAGGCTGGTTTAAACATGATCCCAGTGGCAGCCAACACAACAAAGCACCTGTATCTTCAGAGTAACGACATTTCAGACCTTCGACCCAGTGTCCTACGGATGTATGACCTCACAAGCATGGTCCATCTCCACTTGGAGAACAACGGAATCTGTGATGACTGTCTTGTCTTCTCGGCCTTCCACACCATGAGGAAGCTGGAGGGTCTGTATCTTAACAACAACACACTGAGATCCCTAGCAAGTGTAGACAAGTTACCCTCCTGGCTGAAGTACTTAGATCTGTCTGATAATGTATTTGGCCATGTCCCTGACGAAACATTTGTCAACTTTACAGTACTAGTGGAACTAAAGCTAAACAACGTCAAGATCAGTAGAATTGATCCGGGTGCGTTCCTTGGCCTCTTCAGTCTCCGTCGACTTCACATGGATAATAACAATTTGTTTACTGTACCAACGTCCTCCCTTAGAGTGCTGGTGTCATTGGAGTACTTGTCTATGAAACAGAACCCTATATCCTACCTTACTGCGGGGGCATTCCGGGGACTCAACAAGTTAGAATACTTAGATCTGAGGGAAAGCAACATCAGCTTTATCAGTGAGAACGCATTTATTTCTCTCACTAACCTGCGCAGCCTCCTTCTGTCTGGAAGTAAGACGCTGAAGACTGTATCCGTTGGTACGTTCAGTAAATTACAAAGCCTGAGATCTCTTCAGCTTGATCGCTGTGGATTCAGTACCCTTTCACCTGAGGCTCTGTCTATTGCCAGGAACCTGTCGTGGGTGACACTGCATGACAATCCGTGGAAATGTCAGCAGGAAATGTGTAGACTGTATGAGACGCTGGACACTACGGAAATTTACGTCCCTTACACAGAAACCTTAACATGCCTTGCGTCCAACTCATCAGAGAGGCAAAAAATCATCGAGTACTGCCAACTCGGTACACGACTTGAGAATAATCGAGCAGTGAAGTGGCAAGCTCTAGCAGCGTTGGCTGCCAGAGAAATTTCAGAATCAGCGTGTCCAGGGAAGTGCACCTGTTTTGGGACAAGCGTGGATTGCGCTGATGGAGGCCTGGGAGCTATTCCTGAACATTTGCCGGATAAGGCAGAAATGTTGATGCTCCAGAACAATAAGATACTCGGGATAGCACAGGGAACGTTCCTCAACATGAAGAAACTACGTCGACTTCACCTTGACAACAACGTCATACGGAACAATCGGCTCTCCGTAGACTCACTGAAGGGGCTACAGAGTCTGGAAGGTCTGTTCCTGTCCAACAATGACCTGGCAGTTTTTCCCGGGAAGTTCCTGGCAGGCGTAGCTGACAGTCTCACGCAGTTAGATCTGTCAGGAAACAGAATCACGTCGTTATCACCAGGGACTTTTGCGAGGTTCGGGTCTTTGCGACAACTGTTTCTAAAGAATGTCGGGCTCAGAGTGATTAACAAAGCTCTCTTCGTCCCTCTCAAGAAACTAGAGGAGCTACTCCTAGACTACAATAACTTGACAGACCGGTCCCTGCTAGGACTTCGGTATCTTTACAACATCAGAAAACTGTCTCTTCGTGGCAATCCCATCTCAAACCTAAACCACTTATCATTTGTCGGCACTGGCAGGTTAGAATATCTGGACTTGCGGGAGCTCCAGATTCTTGTCATTTCTTCTTCGGCCTTCTCCGAGGTACCGCGACTTCACACTCTACTGTTATCTGACAACAGACGACTGAGAGGGATACATCCGTTGGCTTTTGTAGGCCTTAAATACCTGAAGTCTGTAGAGATGAATGGGTGCGCGTTGAAAGCCATCCCGCCTGGGCTTCTCCGAAGAATCGACACGCTAGAATGGCTAACGATACACGACAACCCGTGGGCGTGCAGCCGCAGGATCTGTTGGCTTGTTCGATGGATGAGCTCGTCGTCAGTAAAGGTCCCATACAGACACAGGTTGACGTGCAGTTCCCCTCGAAATCTCAAGGGGTCACGAGTGGATACATTACACATATGTGGAGCGAAACCAACGCCAGCGAAACCAACACATGGGCCGAGATTACATCACACTTCACCGTACACTGTGGCTAAAAGCTCGGCGATACCTATGACCGCATCCATGTCACCTGAAATATTAGTTACAATGTCGACGGTCCCCACACAGTCAGTAACAGAAGTCATTCCACTACTGACGCCACCGACCCCGACGCCTTTACCAGGTGGCCTTGTGGCAACACCAACAAAAGTGTCAGTGTCCCCCGATAACGGAGAGGATCGCTTACAGCCTGGGAGGACCTTCAACTCTCCCTGTCCAACACGTTGTCGATGCCGCGACCACTTCATCGACTGTGCCTTTGCGGGTCTGAAGGCCATTCCTGTAGGGCTTCCTTCAGGCATCCGGCATCTGTACTTGGACGGTAACTCCATCAGCAGGATAGGTCCGCGGGCGTTTGCCGGGACGCCGCGTCTGCAGGTGCTCCAGATGCAGAACAACAGTCTGACCAGCTCCAGCATCCACAGGAATGCCTTCGATGGACTGCGCAACCTCAGGTAAGCCATATGGTTTGGTTGAATGGACATGATAGAATAATCAATTTGCACCCACTAAAGCCCAGTTTACAGGTAGCCGACTATGGACTCCCAACCACTGCCAAGGAGCCTCATACTACACCGTTCATGGATATGGTCCATGTATCTATGTAACGTTACATTACATGTATACACGTGTGTGTGTGTGTGTGTGTGTGTGTATACATATATGTACACACACACACACACACATATATATATACATATATGTAATTGATGTTTGATTTGAAATCCATTACATTAGATATCAACATCTAATCTATTCTTCCTGGATTCATAAAACACAAATATACACATATATTCCCTCTCTTCCACAGATATCTCTTCCTGTCGAGAAACAAGCTGACAACGATCCCGACCATCTTGCCGAGCTCAGTCGAGTTCCTACATGTCCACAACAACCTGATCACCAGAGCTTCAGCCCTTACCGTTGTACACCTGATGGTCAAACTACCACGTCTGAAGCGGCTGACCCTACACAATAACCCTTGGAACTGCAACCAAGGCTTATGCTTCCTGAAGAAGTGGATGGAGAGCACAAACGTGTACCTCCCCTATCGGAGCAACATTACCTGTGCTGCCCCACAGAGTATACAAGGAAAGGTCATCGACAAAATGAGCAGTGCAGTGTTCTGTAGTACTAGGAGACCGCCTGCGCACAAGGAGAATGGAACATCGGCGACCATGAAGACTTCAAACGCCGTGTTGACGACAGCTGTGGCACCGACGGCACACAGCTCCACACAGTCACTGCTTCTTCATCCGACAGTATCTTTAACAACAACTGGTCCAAACGAAAATCACAAACCATCATGTCCAGAGAGGTGCCGGTGTAAACAAACACTGGTCCAATGCAGCTATGCGGGTCTTAAAACAGTACCTAACAACATCCCCCCGGACACAACCTTTCTCTACTTGGATAACAACCAGATCTCCCATTTCCGCCCAGATTCCTTTACCAACTTAGACAATCTCCGTGGTCTGCAGCTTCAGAACAATGCCATAGCAGATGGAGGGCTTGTCGACGCATTGAAGAAGTTGGACAATCTCCAATACCTTTACCTCAATGTGAACAAGCTGACACGAATACCAAGAGGGCTTCCTTCCAAATTAGAATACCTTTACCTGGATACAAATCATATCACAGACATCACCAGTGACCAGGTGGAGAACCTTCTGTTGGAGGCACCGTCCCTTCTAGCTATGACCCTTCATAACAACCCCTGGAGATGTGGGCAGCGACTTTGCCCGTTCTTACAGTGGTTGAACTCTACTGACATCCTTATACCAGAGAGGGATAGACTCATTTGCCAAAGACCTAGGAAAACGGAAGGTAGACGGATAGATGCTACGTGGGAGTATGTGTGCAAGCCAAGGGATCCACAAGAGCCAACCACAAGCGCGCTACCGTCACCAACCGTTCAAAGTAGCACATATTCTTATAGGACTGGCTTGAGCTTTACGACAAGCAGACCCGTATCAGACAGGACGACCAGCAAAGATGGGAATCCCGGGGACAATTCCATTGTTATCCCGGCAGAAGACAAGAATGGACATGATAGTGTGATAATGCCCGATAATGACCATCACATCGATAATCACCCGAACGTTGTAGACATTCCAACAAACCATGTGGTAGACCACTTTCCTGACAGTGACATCGATATTCACCATGAAACAGACCCCGAGCCAGGAATGGAGATTGACGTCGACCATTCCCGCAGAGTGGACGTCATTGATCTGCTTCCTGACAACAACATCCCCAGTGCTCCTACACCGGGCCCGACAAAGAAGGTGGATATGCACAACAAGATAGATTTCGACTCTCCTCCTCAGCCCACTCAGAGTGACCTTGAAGGATACATCCGTGTCGTTGACCTCATTGACAACACCATTGGGAGCAGTATTGACACCCACAAGAGTGACATACACCTGCCGGACATCCCAGAACCACTACAAGTAACTCCAACAGCTCTTAGCTTCAATGACATTGATAGTACAGAAAGGTGCCCCTTGGAGTGCTTCTGTGATGACTTTGGGTCAGTGGACTGCAGCAGTATCGGCTTGAGCGAGGTTCCAGTTAACATTCCTGCCACCACCAGACATCTGTACCTGGATGAGAACGAAATAACTGCACTTCCCACAGGGAGTATGGATAACCTCCAGGACTTAAACATCCTGGAGATTCACAACAACTACATCAGCAATGACGGGATCGGCAGTGAGTTCTTCAACTCGTTCGCGCATCTGGAGTATTTGTATTTTTCAAACAACCAACTTTTGCAGGTTCCTCAAGATCTACCACCCAGCCTCATTTCCTTGTATTTGGATGGGAATGGCCTGCCTGAAGTTCAGGCGGGTGCATTTGCTAACCTACCCAATCTAGTATGGCTGTATCTCCAAAGGAATGGTCTCAATGATGACAGCTTTGGTAAAGAGTCATTTCTAGGTCTGTCCTCCTTAAAGTACTTAAACTGCGAAGGAAATGAACTTAATGAAGTCCCAATTAACCTTCCTTCTAGTTTGGAAATTCTCGTCATGCAAAACAACAAACTGTCCAACATTAGACCTGGAGTATTTTCCAGCTTGACCAACCTACACAAACTGTACCTCTCTAACAATCAACTCAGAAGTGCTGACATCCCCCGGGAGGCTTTTCTGGGGCTTGTAAACCTACAGGACCTGGATCTGGCCAACAACTCTCTCACAACCATTCCACACAGCCCACCGAGCCTCCAGTACCTGCATCTAGAGAGCAATGACATTCACTACATTCCATCTTTTGCATTTTCCCATCTTTACAGTCTAAAGCACCTATACCTCAACCACAACTTTCTAACAAGTCATGGAATAGCCCCTAATGCATTTTCCGGCTTGAGAGACCTCGTCTACATTGACTTGTCGCACAATGACTTAGTAGAACCACCAGGCGGGCTTCCTTCAAGTCTCGAAGATGTATATCTTTCGGGTAATAATCTGATCCACATCCCTAGTGATGTATTCATGGTAAATGGTGAACTGCGGGGTCTATTCTTGAACAATAACACGTTGAATGACTCCAGCATTCATAGTGGTTCCTTTTACGGACTGAACAGCATACAATCCCTGGACCTATCTGGAAATGAACTGACCGTTTTCCCCTCCCATCTTCCAAATGGACTTGAACAGTTACACATCCGACGCAACAAGATCAGATCAATCCCGCAGTCATCTCTTGAGACCACTCCGAAACTGCGATCCCTGTACCTGGGAAATAACAGTTTGGGTGACACTGGCCTGGTGGCTGCCAGTTTTGAAGGTGCATTCCTATCCACCCTGGATCTGTCTGGAAATAACATGACAAAAATCCCTTTGGATCTGCCGTATTCATTGGAATATTTGTACCTCAACAACAACCACATTTCAACCATAAAGGCTGATATGTTGTCCAAGCTCAAGCGGCTAAGAGCCCTTTACTTAAAGAACAATGACTTAGGGAAAGGTAGTATAGAGGATAGAGCCCTAACTGTTTTAAGAAACCTGAGGTACATTGATTTGTCTCAGAACAGACTGAGTTCTGTACCTGTGAACCTGCCTGATGGGGTAGAGGAGTTTAATCTATAGGAGACTAAGGAGACCTTATTGTACATATGAGTTTTTTTTTAATTTGTAGCTTGATTTGGAAAAGATAAAGAGGAGGTCATGGGAAAGAATTTGTGGGGAAGAAAATACATTCATTTTAGGTATATTTATAACATAATGGTGCTGAGTAATGATTTAGTATCTCACTCTATACTAATAGTACAAGTTGACTACAACCACTGCTGCATAATACAAATATTCAAGTTCCATGATATGAACTAGATCCATGTTCTCATCATTATTTATAAAATATAAAACTTGATATTGGATTTGGATATTGGAATTGATGTTGTTACAATTTTTTGTTTAGGGACACCAACTTTTGACACATTCCACATTGAAATGTGTGTTTTCTCGGGTGGATATGACATACAGTTTGCAAATAGAATACAACACCCTTAGGCTTTGGGCGATGGAATCTTGGGTGATAAGGAACACACCGTGTAGTATTCTACATGTCATGTACATGTATATACATGTATATATATATATTGTCTGGCTTCTCTTCTGCTGTGTTGTTCTACATTTAATTTGCTCATGGTCTATATACTAGACCATGTAAGAAGGTGTCAAAAAGACCACTATGGTCTGTGCTCTACAAAACAGAATTGTAGGTCACTCTGCTTTGCCTAATCATGACACGAACAAGACGGGAAATCCTGTAGGCTGGCAAACTAACAAATAAACTAAATAGATCTTCCTATTCTACTGGTGTATGTACATTATCTTGTAAAGTTGCTGTCCTGATGATAGCATGTATAGCCTGCTCCAGTCCCAGCACTTTGATCATGTCCTGAAACACCTCCCCACATGTCTGTAGTGTCAACTTCTCATCCAGCTGGGTCACTGGTTAGGGAAGGGAAGCACGTGTCACCATGGTACAGTTTCACCATGGTAAAGTTTTTTTCACACAAAACTGATCTTGTATTAAGTTTTAAAATATAGTGACACTTAAGAAAATATTCATTGGCTGCAAGTGTATACCAAACGAAAGCCATTTCTATACAAGAATGGACGACATTATCAAACGTTTCATGGCTTCCTACTACCCCTAAGTTCTCAGATTTCCATTACAAATGGAGACGCTTTACTCACTTTGATTCTTGGCTTTCACCTTCAGTGTGACATTTGGGATCACTTTCCAGGGGTCAGAGGTCAAGGTCACCAGGCAGGTGATAATGAAACAAGCACTGCAGGAAGAAGCAATGTGATGAAGTTAGGCATGCCTGCTCACTAAATATATCAGGCTTCAATATTTCTACAAGCAAAAGCATCCAGAGCTAGAGGAAATATCTCTCAAAAGCAATATACAACACACGTACACACACTGAGTATGTACAAAAACCTTGCTACAGGAAGCAGCCGTGAAAGTTGCTGCCCTTTTGTGCCACTAGCCATTTGTATAGGCAAGATGGTTAGTGTTGTTGAGATTGAACCTGATGGTTCTGGGTTCAAATCCCTGGCAGGCACCATTGCTGCACGGTGCCTTTTGGAAAGGCACTTTACACCTATTTCTTCGCCAGACTCTAAGACAATCAAGCTTAGGACATGTCGGATAGGACGTGAAGCTTGATTATAGGCATGAATGGGATATAAAACAACAACTGAGTGCTGACCCTGGATCCTGCAGCTTCTTGAACTCAATCTCCTCTCCATACGGACCCCTGGTGAGCCTGACTAAATCAGAGTACTGGTCCTAGGGAAACACAATGTACTCATGTCAGCAAGGGGCAGTGAAGGTGGGGGAACTACAATGGGGCTGAAGGGAACTCAATGTATTAAAGATTAGCAAGATGTCCAGCTACTTGATGTAGGCCAAACTACACACGAGTGTTATGGTAGAATGTAGCTTCCTTGGGCATTAGAGTATTGAAAGAATATGCCACAAGGCAAATGGAAGGCATATTCAGCACTAAGGACAGTGCCATGGCGTTAGCTATAGAACTTAGAAGTTTTTCAAGCACTGGAGACCAATTGCACAATACACAAGTTGCATGCGTGTACCTAAATGGACATTTTCCTGTGGAATAAGTTGTGTGAAACCGGAACATGTACAGTTACCACTTCTTACCTTGAAGTGGTGGAAGGTCTTGTGCCTAAGGCTCCACCATTCGGAATACTCAGAAAACAGTCTGAAGAAACACAACACTGCCCGCTCCTGCTCCACCCTAACCAGGACAACATACATCCACCACATTTAGGACATGTAAGGTTCCAAATCTTACCTATACTTATGCAGGTAATAGACAAAACACATACATTTATATAGAGTGTCATAGGACAGACTTTTTGAGCAAGTAAACCGTAACTGTCATCTTGTTGTAGATGTGTCCTTCCAGGAGAAAACTACACAAGTCCCTATGACTAAGTAGGATGTACCATGTGATGAAGGTTTGGAGGTCTGCCTGTTTAGCCAGCCTCTTGTCCACTGTCACCTGTAGTCTGGTCACTGTGCATCTCATCTCTCCACCAGTCTGTAGGAGGGAGGACAACATTACAGGTCAGGTACAGAGAATCAGGTACAGATCACAACACAGTGTTCTAGCCAGGGACAAATTTTTGTCCAATCTGTCATCTTTGACAGACAAAAATTGTCATAAAATTATGCTTAATTTTCCCCTCAAAATGTAAGAAATTTTGCATTTTAGAGGGTCAAAATTTTCCCAGGGAGCATGCCGCTAGACCCCCCTAAGAATTTATGCTTGTGTGCTGAACAAGAAGATATGTCAAACAAAATTGAGATGACAGAAAAAAATTCAGGCTGCCTATAACACTGGTACCATGTGGATGCCATCCATAAGAGTCACTTAATGTGGCCTAAGGGATTTGTAATAATATTTCTTCAGAGCCCCCAAATAGCTTCCTACTCTTCTTACCTGCACTAAGTTTTCTTCCACTTCCATCTGCACATCAAATGACAGAGAGTGACTATGGCCTGACAGGGATTTCAGTATAACTGTGGTCTCTTGTTCTGTGGGCAAAAAATAATGTACATTGCAGTTCTCAATGAATGCCAATAACTGTAGTAAAGGAGTCTTGCTTCCAATGTACATGAGCATGTATCCTGCTGTTTTGAATCTATTGATCATACATACTTACATGTAAGTGCATGTAGACTTAAAAGATTTCTTGGGCCTATAAAGTGTTTATGGCACACACACACACACAAAAAAACATCTTTTTTTAATCTGTATCCGTAATGATTTTACTATTATTCAGTGAACAAAAACTCCCTTTAGAAGATTGCCCCAGTCTTCATGCTTCATGCTTCATTGCTTGAATCACAAACCAGCCTGGCAGTGGTACAATGACTTCATGGGTCCTATCGTAGCATTTGGGGCTATCATTTGGGGCATCCTGTTTTTTTTTGCCCTGTCACTTTATATTTTTCTAATAAGGTCCAAGAACCAACAAAATAGAATAGAAAGGTGAAAAAAGTACCTTTTCTTATCACAGTACTGGTATTATCATGGAACTGGATGCCTGTCAATGAGGACAACATCTGCAGCTGTGGAGAGAACATCACAGAGACTCTGATGAACATAGTGTCAAACTACTGGTTCTGTTTTGGAATAGATGATCAAATGCATCCTAAAACTTGTTGCAGTTGAACCTATGACACTGTCCTTGGTGCTGAATATGCCTTCATGTCTATACAATAGGCTCCAACTTATGTCTTTATGCTAAGAGCCTAAGACTAATGTTAAATTTGAGTAGAAGTTCAAGCATACCCTGCACCAGCAGTATGAATCAACCTACTTCATGATCCACAGTGTAGATCTGCTCTGAGAAATTCCCCCTCTGGAACTCTCCAGCCTCTGGATACAGCTCTGCACTGAGAACACACAAGATACATGTAGCATGACTTCTCTTTCTCATCACAACTGGAGCAAACCCTGGATTCATGTCTGCATTACACAGGCCTGGGTTTGTTTCATCAGAAATACATGATTGCAATGGGTATTCTGGCTAAGGTAGCACACAGAATTCTATAGAATAATTACATTCACCAATAATTACCTTCTGCATTGTGTGTGTGTGTGTGTGTGTGTGTGTGTGTGTGTGTGTGTGTGTGTGTGTGTGTGTGTGTGTATGTATGTATGTGTGTATGTCTGTATGTATGCGATTTAGCATGATACCTCAAGAAGCTATAATGGATGTATTATCATGAAACTTGGTAGATTGGTAGGTCTTGATGATGAGACCCCAAAATGATTCAGGCCCTTCTGGCGGCTTGTCATAGTAGTGCAGCAGAACTTCCGGTTTTGATATCTCATGATCTGGACATGCCAGGGTCCCTAATTTTGCATGGCAAATACTAGTAGCTCTTGTGCTCCTGAAGAGGTGATGTAAATTAGCGCTCCCAAGCAGCTTGTTCTGGAACTGCATGCAGGGGAAACATATTAATATTTAATAATTAGTAACAACTTACTCCAAACATTGCAGAGTTTGGTCAGAGATGGCCAAGATATCCTGATCTTGTGCCTCCACTTCCTGCTCCAAACTGTTGATGTCTTTTTGCAGCTGGGTGATCTGGGCACGATACTGCAGGCACTGCTCCGGGGTGACTTTCAATTTTTTCTTTAGGGCTGCGTCAAAATCTAGCAGGGGAGTTACTGACTGTGGGGGAGGAGAGTGGTGTTACCAACATTATATCTGAATAAATACTACCTATAGGGTATTATAATTTGTGTCAGGTTTTTAAACATCATTATCATAGCCAATCAGAAGTCCCCATTTCATATTGGTCATTAATCTCATGATGCTATAATCTTTATAATACCAATGATTTGGCAATAAATAATGATCTCACAAGTAGTGAATTCAAATAAATGAAAAAAATACTGCAATATTTTTTGCACTCAACTCACCTTTCCCACATTTAGATTAACACAAAAAATGACAGAGGTGACAAGGAAAAGACATGCTTACCCCCGGAAATCTGCAAATTTGAACAAGAACAAAGTAAGATGTTAATGAACGACTTTTGACTTACTGTCAGAAGTTGTTTTTATACTAAATAGAGTGGTAGGAAAAAATATGGGAGCACGGACTAGACAAAACCACAGTAAAAAAATAAGTCTTCCGACCACGAAGACGCACCACACAAAAATTACGGATAACGACGACAACAACCACGGCAGGTTGTACTTACTCCTTGATGGTCTGTTGGACGAGGCCGAGCTCAAGTTTGATTTCCTCGGCGCCAGACTCTTCTGACAGGAGTCCCGCCATGTTGAAATGACCGCCAAAATTATTTCACGGCATGAAAACGCACCAAACTACATTTTTTGTGAGAATTCTACAACAAAAGAAAAAAAGATAATCATCAGCTATAAGCTAAATTTATGTAACGTTACATTTTTACCCAAAGAAACTGACCAACCTAGGTTTTAGCCTAATACACGCGAAACGTAATTTGTATGCAGGTAGGTGCTTTCTTCCAACCTTTGAACTTTCAACCGTGGAATGTTTGTGGGTCAAAGGTAACACAAATGGCGTCGAAGAACATGTGCGAAGAAGTTCCAGGTAGGATAGTCGCTATTTTGTGTGTTTAAGGAGGTCCTTGGTGTGTTTTGATAGCGTTTGTAAGTCGAAAATGCATGGCATGTTTTTCTTTATGACTTCAGACTTACATAATTGCCTGTAAAGTAAAACTACAACAGACTGTAGCAAATTATATAATGCCCCCCACCCCACCATGATTTCTATCTTTTCCTCGGGGTTTCAACATAAATTATTTTGGCTAGTACATGTATACGTATTCATGGCTTCAAGAGGTCTCAAACAAGTGCTGTGTTCAAACATGTTTGCTCTTGTGTTTTTTGATATAATTTTTTTAATGCAACATACCAGCAATGGCAAAGGACACTGTTAAAGAGCTCAGCACACGGCTGTATGTTGGAGGACTTTTCTGTGAAGTGACAGACGCAGATCTGATCGGACGGTTTGAGATGTTTGGACAGGTCTCATCTGTGGACATTGTTAGGAGGACAGATGACAAAGGTGAGGTCAGATAGTGACTTGGCTGTTTAAAGACACCCATAGCAATTTCAGGGCAGTAAAAATTGATTTTCAAAGTCATCAAGATTTCTCGCTACTTATCATCAAAAAACATATTCGGCCACACGTTCGAAAATGATGCAGTCATAGGCCAGGTTTGAGATTGGGCCATGAACGGTCCCAAATAGTGCTGGTCGCATTGGACAAGTGGTTGGCTTGGGCAAGTTCCCTAATTCTTAATCTTATGTCTATGGAAAAAATTGTGACAGAGAAAAAGTGGCCATTATGGCCAGGTGGCCGACTTACAGAGGTGGTCGCTTGGGCAATTATGTATGCCCAAAAAGCACAGAATTGCAGTCATGCTCTACAGGAATGTACGTCTCCCACTGCCTACAGTAACAAGCACTTTAAATTTCCTGCTTTCCAGGCAAGCCAGAGAGGACATTTGCCTACGTCAATCTGACCACAACTGATCAAAAGCTGAAGAAATGTAAGTTTGCATTCATGCTGTGCCTGCACCTAACCAGAACTGTTTCATGTACAGGGTTATATAGGCATCTGAATTTTTATTTGTGTATTGACTATTACAACAATGGTTTAATGAAAGAAATAATGACAATGGTTCCTGATCAGTGTGATCCATGCTCTCCTAAACTCTGAGCAGTGCAGGTAAAGTTTGTCTGGTGCATGTAATTTTCATTCACTGCTGCAAAAAAGTATTTTGAGCCCTGATGTAAGTAGAGCTTTATAGCCTATGGTAGCAGTTCACTACAACTCATCAAACTTCCAGGCATGGCTGTCTACAATAAATCAAAGTGGAAGGGACATGACATGCAGATACAAGTAGCAAAGGAGAGTTTCCTAGCAAGGTAAGAAACATGTTTCAACAATGACTATATTATAGTATATATATTATATAATCTACTGACTCTGTTTATTTGCATCTATGATTTAGCATCTTAGTGCAAGAATTGTTTACTCTGTACAATGCTGTGAATTTTGTATATTTGTGTGGACGTAGACATGTGTGTATTTTTTGTCATCAAGACTTGCAAAGGAAAGAGAGGCTACGAAGATGGAGTTGAGCACCAAGAAACTCTCACCAGAGAGACCTGAGCCATCTCCTGCAAGGCAGTGGACTGTCCAAGGAGCAGTGCCAGGGACAGAAGTAGAAGGAGAAAGGGTAAAGAAAGGCAGACATTTACTCAGGAGCAAATCCAGCATATTTCATTCCATCTCCCTCCGCAGTCCTAAATCAACTACTCTGTTAGTCCATATCAACCTTTTGCAGAAATGGACCATCCCAAAGTTACTTGTTCTCACAATATTAACCCACTCTGAAATTGAATTTTCTTACTGTGACTCCCCATGCAAGAATTGACTCTTCTAAAAACATCCCCATGCAAAATAGTAGCAGGCATCCTGCCATCTCAAAATTAAAGATGATGGTAGTATAAGGGGTTCGTTGTTGATCGTCGTGGGATTACCGCCTCCGAGTAAAGTAAGAGCAAGACCAGAAAAGAAGAGGACACAGAGCACAAAAAAAAGACGTCCCTACACAAAGACTTCAACTCAAAAACTCCTTTGTTTATTCTACAAACGTGATCGAACGTCGTCGATCTTAACGTATACGTACGGATCCTAACGTAGCCGTTCGGACGTCGAACGGACGCTAACGTCGCCGTTCGAACGTCCGAACGGCTTACCTAATGCAACATCTAAACACCTTATGTCATTCCCTACACTTTCCCCCCTAGTAATTTTTCGCCGTCCTCGGCGAACGATCAATACAAAATATCATTCCCTACAGTAGCACTCTAGGTCTAAAATGTACTAAAATGTAAAATGGACTCTTTTAAAAGGGCACCCCACAGCCTGGATAGGGTTACTGGTAAATCCAAAACTTATTTCTGCCATTACTGAAATGAACAGGTTACGTTGTTCAATTATATCTTTGTACAGGTTGGAACCTGGACCTAAACCTTTGTGCCTGTACCAGATGCTATGTTTAGGTACACAATCCTGCATTTAGATCTTAGGTGATGTTGACAGAACTCTGACTTGCGTTGTTTCAGAACTGGGTAGTCGGCAAATATGGCCGGATCCTGCCTGTGGTCTACATACGAAGGAAGGACAAAAAGAAAGTGATGAAGGTCAACCCTTCCAAGTACAGCCACAACCTTAAGAAGGTGAAGGAAGAGCATTTCATTGATCCCCCCATCAGTCAGCTTACCTGGGACATACAGGTGCAGGGGACTGAGGAGAGCAGGAAGAAACGGCAGGGAGATTTTTCAGGTTAGAGACGTTTCTTTTTGGTACAAGTTTGTCAATTCAATATGTTGCCATCCAGAAAAAATCTGATGGTCTGATGAACAAAGAGTACATATATATTAAACCAGTTACGTTATGTGTACATTTATGCTAAGAATTGGGCAATTTTGACCGAAAAGATTTCTGAATGGTCCAATTTTCCACATGGCTGTAAATAATCATGTGTTTGTTTCCAAATATTGTTCTCCTTGACAGACATGTTTTCTCCCCTAGATTTCATGATAGGGAGGTGGAAAAGGCCGGCTGCAACCCTACAAGCAAAGAACAAAAAGATGAAGGTGGAGTTAGGGAACAAGTCAGAAGAGAATTTGTCTAATAGTGACCACAGTAATCCAGACACAAGCAGTCATATTGGCCAGTCAGGCGATGAGAAAGATGACAAGGGTTACTTTGCACAACATGAGGACAAAACTTCAGCAGTTGGAAACGCTCAAAGTAGACTTGACGACTCTGACAATGACTCAGACTCTAAGGAATTATCCAACACAACTGCCATTGATAAGGATCATGATGATGATGACAGTGACTTTGAAGTTGTGAGCCTTGAACAACATGACCAGCGCATGACAGGAGTACTTGATGGAAACATGCTTCTTGGGTTCAAGACCTTAGTGCACAACAAACAGGATGGAGTGAAGGGAGCAGATGACTCTGACAGATCTGTAGACACTGATGAACTCCTAACAGCAACCAAGCATCATGTTGTTCAACATACGAGCATGGAGAAAACTTTCAACTCAGGAACAGCCTCAGACCCTGCAGAAATGGCTCTCTCCTCAAGGAAGAAATTGCAACGAACTATCAATACTCAAGACGTAAGTAGAAATAGTTCCTCCAAACAGGACAGTACTGATGATGAGTCAGAAGATTCAGACGATGCTGAGATGATAGCAGCTGCTAGGTTAAAGTTACAGGCGATCATGTCATCACCTCGCACAATAACAAATGGAAAACAAGTAGACAAAGATGGGGGTCAGAATGAGTCTGCAAGAACTGAAAATAAGGCTACAGAACAACTACTGGATGAAACTAGGAAGGATAGCTCTAATGGTGTGGGGATGGCCAGGTTGAGTCAGGAACAGGTGGACAGTGACACTAGTTATAATTTCTCTCAACAACAAAGTGATGATGGTAGCAGTTCTGAAGACACTCTCAACATTCCAGTAAAAACTTCTGGAAAGGCAGAACATGGTCAGAAAACTGATAAGAGAAAAGATGATGGTAATGACATTGATGATGATGAGGAGGAGGAAGATGTTGGTGATAGTAACAACACAGATGATGATGAGGAGGAGGAGGACTTTGATGATGGTGCTGATAGTGATGACATTGATGATGTGGAGGAGGATGTTGATGGTAATGACATTGATGATGAGGAGGATATTGATGATATTGATGATGGTGAGGAAGAGGATGTTGATGACATTGATGATGATGACCATGTTGTTGATGGTGCCGATGATGTCACTGGTGATGAAGGAGATGATGATG